ATGTGTGTGTGTGTGTGTGTGTGTGTGTGTGCGTGCGTGTGTGTGTGTGTGTGTGTGTGTGTGTGTGTGTGTGTGTGTGTGCGCGCGTGCATGTGCGTTTAGCGCCGTCTTAATGGCATATGAGGTGAAGCGGTGAGGCGTCTCGCCGTCACAAGCAGTCGACTTGAGTTTGACTGCCATGTAGGGAGCATTTTCATAGAGGAAATGAGTAGATGTAGTCTTGCTAGAATCTACATCTTTCTTCTGTAACACTCTAGTATTATTTTCAGCCAAGGACAGGCATGGTCGAAGCAGTCCGTCTCCTGAATTATAGATAGAATCTAGACATATAGATCTAGTGTCTTTACGGCTGTAAAACTTCAGAAGTATTTTTTTAAAGTTTATTTTATTCTGCCCCACTTCAACAGCTCTTTCAGGAAGGATAGGCCTAGGCCTACTCAAGGAGGTTATACAGTAGGGTCCTTCCTTTTTAGGGCCTACTTTATTTAATTTTAGCCCATTTTGCATTTCACTAGTCAAGGGAGGCTATTAAAAAATTCTTCATAGTCTTTGATATCACAGTGACTTCCCTTTGAAAATCAGCGTCTTGGGAGAAACAGGTTCAAGAATCTAGAAGTAGAAGAAGAAAAGGAGATTCCTTGTCTTGAGAGAAAACCTCACGGCAATCGTAGAACTAGGACACGACACCAACCAATCCAATGTTTATTTACAATGCGAAGCTGACGTATCCAAGACGAAATGCCGTAAACTGATTTGGAGTTTAAAGTTACATTTTTCAAGGTAAGTTGATAACTTTTTGAGAAACGCAGTCACTCAACTCAACTGACAAGTTTTTCTTCTTGCGAAAAGTCGGTGGAAATGGAAGCAGATCCACGACCTGTGTCAGTCACGCTTGGATGAGAATAGAAAAGAGGGCGGATTGAGAGCAAACCAAAAAGTTTTAGAGAGTGAATTCTGCCGTGAAATGTAGATCTAGAAAGAATTTAGATCTAGACAAGATACAGCATTGTCTACACTGATACGCTGCATGGTGAAAATCCGCGGGGCTTTTTAGAAGGTCTGGTTTGATTCCTGGTAGAATCTAGATCTACAACGATCCCGATCTACAAACACTAAAGACACACAGCAGTGACAGTGATTAGATCTAGATCTAGATCTAGTCTACTTCTTAGGTCAATAGGCCTATTAAAAGTCTGATTATGTCATTATTCTATGGACTGACTGATTATAGATCTAGACTCTAGATTCTAGATCTAGATATCTAGCATTTTTCGGGAGAATCGGTCATGGCCTAACTTAACTCCTTAGACATTTATTTGCCTACAATCGAAACAAAAATGGAAGTTGCGTTGGGGAGGGGGGGAGGGGGGGGGGGAAAGTTCCAGGGGTCTACCCCCAGCTAAATTCACAAAAGTAGAGCTCTAGAGTCTTTATGGTTTGTAACAGTCTTTGGCCTACCCAGTTTTTAGTAAGATTGTTCTCAGCACACTAAAAAACGTTATAATAGTGTCGAAAAATAGTTTAAAATGGGTTTGGACCTTTTTTATGAATTTACCGATGGTGTTTTCACCCTGGCAACTCAGTCAGCTTTTTTACTCTCGACTTCCAGTTTTGTTTACGATTTTGAGTAGGCTTAGGCTAGTCTAGATCTATATAGACTATAGAATGAAGTAATGGACTTTGGCCTGGACCAGTTCTCCCGAAGATTGCCCTGACTATAGACCTACTAGAATCTAGATCTAGATCTGAAAGTCATAGATTCATGGTAGATCTAGATCTAGATCTAGGTGTAAATCTATACTATTCTACTTCTTCTAAAATCTTCCCATCTTGGTCTAAATTCTAAGATCTAAAAATCTAGCTTAACAATCAAACTATAGTTTTACGATAAATTAAATGTCTATACTAAGAGACGACTGTACATTTATAAAACTCCGCTGTCAGGATCTCTAGATCTAGATCTATCTATAGATCTATATCTAGAGCTTAGAACATTCTATGTCAGGTCGAGATTCTTTTGCTTGCTTCATAGTTTTTCTTAAAAGTTGTTGTTACTAGAACTAGATTCTAGATCTCTATTAGATCTATCTAGATCTAGATCTAGATCTAGAGCCCTATTGTTTTTTATACATTATTATTATATTATTATTATTAGATCTATAATTATTAAATTATT